TCTCCATACATTTTCGGAAAGAGAACTATATTAGAACTTTTTACTTATGGTTTGAGAACATTAATGATTATGGTTATGGTAGTCAGTAAGGTCCATTAATCGTTTTTTATTATCGCTCAACTTTACGTGGAATATATCGCGAACAGATAATTATTAATTTACAGGCAACCAATTCGCGATATATTCCACATAAAGTTGATCGATGTTACAAAACCATTCATGGGCCTTACTGACTACCATAACCATAACCATAACCATTAATGTTCTCAAACCATAAGTAAAAACGTTCTAATATAGTTCTCTTGCCGAAAATGTATGGAGAAAACAAGAATTTGAAATGGTAATGGTTCTTAACAACCCATTATTTGTAGGGTCCGCTTCCTAAAAACCATAATACATAAGGTTAAAACTTCGGGTTCAAGAAAAAGTGGGAAATACTGTCAAATACCCATCAATATGGGTATTTTTAGAATAGGGATGAAGTCTAGGTACCGAAAATCGATAACCGACGCCATTTTGAAATCCAAGATGGAGGCTTCGGGTTCAAGAAAAAGTGGGAAATACTGTCAAATACCCATCAATATGGGTATTTTTGGAATCGGGGTGACATCTAGAGATCGGAAATCGATATCCGACGCCATTTTGAAATCCAAGATGGAGGTTTCTGGTTTCATAGAAGTGGGAAATACTGTCAAATACCCATCAATATAGGTATTTTTTTAATTATGATGACGACTAAAGGCCGGAAGTCGATATCCGCCGCCATTTTGAAATCCAAGATGGCGTCTTCCGTTTTCAGAAAAAAAAGTGCGAAATACTGTTAATTATTCATCAATATGGTATTATTGGAATTGGGATTACGTCTAGAGGCCGGAAATCAATGACCAGCTCCGTTTTGAAATCCAAGATGTCGGCTTCCGGTTTAAAAAAAAGTGGGAAATACTATCAAATACCTATCAACATGGGTATTTTTGGAATCGGGGTGACATCTAGAGATCGGAAATCGATATCCGACGCCATTTTGAAATCCAATATGGTGGCTTCTGGTTTCATAAAAGTGAGAAATACTGTCAAATACCCATCTATATGGATATTTTTGAACTCGGGGTGACGTCCAGAGATTGAAAATAGATATGCGACGCCATTTTGAAATCCAAGATGGCTTCCGGTTCAAGAAAAAGTGGGAAACATTGTCAAATATCTATCAACATGGATATTTTTGGAATCGGGGTGACATCTAGAGATCGGAAATCGATATCCGAAGCCGTTTTGAAATCGAATATGACGGCTTCCGGTTTACGAAAAGGGAGAAATACTGTCAGGATGTCGTCTAGAGAATGAAAATCGATACGTGACACCATTTCGAAATTCAAGATGGCGGCTTCTGGTTTCATAAAAGTGAGAAATACAGTCAAATACCCATCAATATAGGTATTTTTGGAATCGGTATGATGTCTACAGAATGCAAATCGATATTGGACGCAATTTTGAAATCCACGATGGCGGCTTCCGATTTGATGGAGGCTTCGGGTTCAAGAAAATATCGTTTCTTGAAATCCAATATAGCGACTTCTGGTTTCCAAAAGTGGGTAATACTGTCAAATACTAATCAACATGGGTATTTTTGGAATCGGAGTGACATCTAGAGATCGAAAATCGATATCCGACGCCATTTTGAAATCCAAAATGGCGGCTTCTGGTTTCATAAAAGTGGGAAATACTGCCAAATACCCATCAATACGGATATTTTTGGACTCCGGGTGACGTCTAGAGGTTGAAAATAGATATGCAACGCCATTTTGAAATCCAAGATAGAGGCTTCGGGCTAAAAAAAGTGAGGAATAGTGAAAAAATACCCATCAATATGGGTAGTTTTGAAATCGGGATGACGTCTAGAGAATCCGACGCTATTTTGAAATCCGTCATCTTGGCTTCCGGTTTAAGAAAAAGTGGGAAATTCTATCAAATACCCATCAATACGGTTTTTTTAATCGGGATTACGTCGAGAAGCAGGAAATCGATATCCGACGCCATTTTGAAATCCAAGACGACCCTAAATATGGGTATTTTCGGAACGGGGATGACATGTAGATGCCGAAAATCGATGTCAGACGAATATCGATTTTCGTCATCCCCGTTCCGAAAATACTCATATTACAGGGTATTCGACACGTCTTCTGAAACCCTATGGCCGCCATCTTGGTCTCCAGAAAGGCCTCTGTAATTTAATTTCCGTTTAATGTAAAATAACAATTTATTACTGCATATAATCCGGATGCCATTCCTATCGGCAACCGATATTGTGCGGATACTATCTGGATACTATGTTTTGATGCCTGACGATGTGAAGCGTGACATGTAGAATGAGCCCCGAATTGAGGTGAAAGTGAAAAAAAGGAAGCATTTTTCGAGTCATTCATTACGTCAATTGAAACAAGTCTTTGCTTCAAATGAAATGAACTGATGGACTTGACGAACGAAAACAAGCGATAGCCAAGGTGGAATGTTCATCGTGACTCGATAACAAGAAACGCAATGACTTAAACGAAAATTAAATTTCTCGAAATGAAGCGATTCTGCGGAGAGCTCATTTTCTTTTCTATATTTCGAAACTGGATAACCCTGGTTTCCAGTGACCAAAGGAAACGATTTTTCACGCACACAAACTTCACAGAAGACACCAACTACCTGAATATTAAAGCAACAGATTTTCAGGATATTGTTCAAGACTTCATTAAGTCTGTATAATTTCCGGATCTGAACTCCAGAATGGTTTGGAAAGCATTACCTATCTAATAAATGCTTAAAACCTCTTAAATAAAGAAACAAAAAGCTTCACGGACTCATACAGATTTTCAGTACATTGAGTCTGTTGAACTTCAAGATCTTCGCTCCAGAATATTTTGAAGAGTATTAAAATCTTATTAATACCACTCTATGATGCGCTTGTTGTCAAGAGCTAAATGCATTCACAAAGATTTTCAGGGCATTGTTTGAGACGTCATTGAGTCTGTAGATCTTCAAGATCATAACTCCAGAATACCAGAGCAATGAAAATCTTAGTTTTACCAATCCATAATGCGCTTGTTGTCAAGGATCGTGCGTATCAAACCGTATTGCGTCTATAGAACATCAACTCCAGGACATTTGGGATCTCATAATTTTGTTTAATGATTAATGTAGGCACATACTAATACACAACTTGTGAAATAATGCACAATAAGCTAGAAAATATATTTCCCATTTTTTTCCTGGTATTTTGGACATTTTTCCAGTTGAGCTATATACATTTAAATTAAGCATAAAACCAAATGCCATTGAGCCGAAGAGATCACTAGGTTAAATGAGTCAATACTAAGAGAGCGGGATTTTTCCTGGATCTTGAATTTTGTTTTGCGTTCGAAGTTTTCAAAAATTAGCCTTTGAAATTGCGTTTCAAACATTACATAATTTCATTTGATTCTTCTTAAGCATTTCCTTTAAATCACTTCCCTTCACAGAGTTGTTTTCAGAATTATTTTAAAATATACTTGAGATTCTCTTTGGGAGTTCCTTCAAAATTTATTGACAACAGTCCAGAAATTCTTGGCAGAACACTAAAAAACAAATTCATGAAATAAGTCCATTTCGAAAAATTCACTGAAGCATCCTTCAATTTTTTATATTTTTTTTTATTTGCTTGAATTCTTATTAGTTTCTTAATTTCCATGTAATTCACATCATAAATGTCTAAAAGTGTTGTCTAATGTTGCACTCTGATATATTTGGCCTCCTCCTTGTTTGGATATTTTCCATAGTGCGGACTGGGATAAAGAAATTATTTAGGTTCTGTAACATGAGACATTTTCAATTATCAAAACTAAAAATATTAGAGAAGTCCGACGACTTCATTCTGAAGATAAAATAAATCAAGTGGCAATTTGACAATTTTCAAGATTTATAGCCCAAACAAATTTTAGAAATTATAGCTAGAAGAGCAATTTATGTAATCTCACACTGAGACAAATATTTGAGATATACATGTGTTTTATTTTATTGTGGAACTAGGAAAATATTTTTCATAGCAAATTTGTTCCCGATTATTGTAGTTGCTAATCATAAATAATAACATGAGAACTTCGTTCAAATCAATTAACCAATTCATCGGAGCAGTTAAAATAACGCATACTTGATTCGTGTTGCATTCTGGATGCTAGATAAGAACCTCCTTTATCAAACTATTCGGCAGAATAGGGGAAAATCTGTTTATAAAGCTGTGACTATCAAAAGAGAAAATCGATGAAGAGAATCGATCAAAACCACTTACACCCCTTTCCTTCTAAACCCCTCAAATTATATTTTCAGATTTTTTCAACCACGAGAAAAAGTAGCTAAAATTTGCGCGTTTCTTAAAAAAATAGTAATTTGTTGGTCCAGTTTTGTGGAATCGCCATGCCAAAACTGCTCGAAACAGTGGTCCATTTGGATTGATTTTAGTCAGATTTATCATCAGCTACTGTGCTGCTAAAAAAAAAACAATAGTTTTGAGGCCAAACATAAAAATAAAACCCAACAATTAAAGTAAAAGTTGTCTGGCCTCCACCCGTGCGTCTCCATAAAAATATGAATAGGTATCACACATAATCCATCGCTTTCAACTGATCTTCCAAAGATCGCTGCAAAATGACTGCGCAAAAACCTGCCTCCGCCATAACTCGGGATGGACACAGGGAGCCAATGGCGGGGCGGGGGACAACAACCCATTCCGAGCAGATTAAAATCAATGGATTAGTTTTCAATTTGCAACAGCAAGAGCAGAGAGAAAAAATGCTTCACCTCATTCATGTGGGGGCGTCCCCTTTCGAGTACGGTACAACAGCAACAAAAAAAAATCAAAAGGAATTCCTCACTTGTTTTTATGTGACGACTGTCTGCGACTGTCTCTGGTTTCGATATTCGAACTATTAAAGGCAACAACAGGCTCGGGGAGATCACTTTGCAAATTAATTGTTTCGACTCACCTCGTGTGGGACGACGTCACGATCCGTTCCTCACTGCGATGCGGCTGTTTTTGTGGCTGCTGCTGTTGTTGTAGTTGTCCCTTGTCGCGCACCGTCCCATCGTACTTGTTCTCCTTGCCAAAGATGCTTCCCCCGTAGGGATTCTCACCGAGGTAGTACTTTTGCTTCGGCGTCGGACCGCCACCGCTATTGGTTGTCATGTCGGACACGATATCGGAGGAACCACGACGACCGTAACTGCTTGTAGCGGGATCTGTGCGGTCGCGATCACGTCTGGAAATGTTGCCGTTCGGCTTGTGACTGACACCGTTCGGTGCGGCGGCGACGCGCTGATGCTGCTGCTGCTGCTGCTGTTGGAGCAGAGACTGGTTTTGAGCCCCTGCTGGGGCGGGTGGTGCTGGTGGTGGTGAGTATCCTCGTCCACCGATGTGACTGTCGATGACGTTGTACTGCTGATAGGTTGCGCTGGACGAGCTGTTGCGCTTCTGGGCCGACGAGGACGGGGAGGGCGAACGTTGTTTGATTGACGATTTGAGTCGCAGTTTGCGTTCGGCACTCGCGGATCGGATCTTGCCGACTAGCTTCCGAATGCTGTTGCCGATGACCGAACCGACTTTGCTCTTTGGTGGGGTACTCTGGGCCCGTGTATTGACCCCCGACCCCCGGGACGTCGTATGATGACTTAGATCTTGAATACTGCTGAAACGGGTTTTCTGATAAGGCTTCCTCAAGGTCGTCGCTGCCGGAGGAATCTGAATGGGTGAAATCGATCGACTGCGGGGTGCGTACTCTATGACTTGCGGTTCTGGTGGCATTCGCTTCGCCAGCATACCGCTGCCGTTGGTCAGTTTCCTTTCCAACGCTTTCTTCCTCTGCGGGACGGTTGGACGTTCCTCCGGAACGTAATCGATGCGGTCTGGTGAAACCGATCGGGCATCCCTGCCATACCTGAGTAGAGAATGACAGAATAAAGCACCTCATAAATTATCGATTTAAACCAAACACAACACAACGACCTTACCTTGCATTGAAATTACTATCCTTCATCGGCTTCGGCGATCGCGGCGTTGTAAAGTACGTCGAAGAAGAAACGTACGCCGAGTCCTCCTTGTAGGAATTCTTCCCTTCATCGAGCCGGTAGTCCTTCTGCTTCCGATATCCATACTCATCCCCATCCACCAAATTCTCCCGCGAACCCCTCCCGTACCGATTCCTATCGTTCCACTCGCTAACCCCCTGGAAGTACTTCCTCCCCACACCCTCCTCCTTCTCCGGCAGCACAACCTTCGCCGGTGTACTCAACTGCTGACTCTTGTACAGATTATTACTGCTCCCACGTTCCTCCGCCCCTTCCCCACCGCTCTTGATCGTCACATTGAAATAGGTCTTCTTCGTAGGTTCCACAATTTCGTCCAAGTCGTCCCGGGACCCCCGCGAAGACCGCGATTCACTCCCGAAGTGACTTTCCAGCCACTTGTTCGTTTCGTTTTTCCGTGTTTCGTCTTCCCTGTCAAAGTCCAGCGGTTTCTTCGTGAGGGCATCGGTTCGATCGACCAGCGGTGGTAATCCGGTGATTGCCTCCTTGGGGGTGGAATGCCTCCCCAGACGGCGGGCTTTCCGCAGCCGATCGGACAAACTGTCCCACTCGGACACGAGGTTCTCCGGACGGGGGCCGTCCTTTTCCATTTGGGTGGTTTCCGCTGCGTAGCGCATCTCGTTTCCTAGCACTTCGCCGTTGGCTCCGATCAGATCGACGTGCTGTTCATCGCGTTGTTTGAAGTAGCGCTGTGAGGTTGCCTATTGGGGGAGAGGGAAATGTGAAAATCGTGGTTAGTTGAGTGATCATTTTTGCTTAATCAATACTGAATGAAAAGATTAAGTTGTTATTGGAAAGTTCGTCGATTGCGCAGCATTTAAGTCTCTTGTTCCCTAATTTTCCCATCCAAATTTGCACTCAGTTTCCCCGAAAATAGCAGATCAATCATTTAGACTGTGTTCCATATGGTGAATTAAAATCCCTCTGTTGTTGATCGTCCGATTTTCGAAAAGGTGTTTAAAAATTGATTCCTTGTCTGCCAGAAATAAGTCTGTCGGAAAAGCAGGTTTTCACCAAATGGAACACAGACTCAGTTCGCTTATAGCTATGGACTTGGTGTCAATAGTGCTATCGACAGTGTGTCGAAGTTGAAATTAAGAACACCACCAAACTCAGCTTTGGGAATAAAATTGCGAAACTCACCATCGTCGAAAATGTCTATTTTCGCGAATTTCGTCCAGATGGAAGCGACATACAGGATAGCTGAGGAGAAATCACTTTTCATAAAGTTCAAATCCAAAGAAACGATGCACCATACATTGCTGCATAACCCGAGGGGCACGCACTTCCTGGTATGAGTGCGTGGAATTTCAAATACATTAGCAGTAATTTAAATACTTTGAAAGTAGTAATAATTTGAATTTAAATACTTTCAGCGGTATTGAAAAAAAAAACTAACAAATAATTAACGATGAAATAACGGTAATATAATGAAAGGTATTTGAGATGTATTGAAAAAATTAAACTATTAATTTTTAACAGTAATTCAATTAATGACTTTAGGAGTGTATTTAAAGTAATGACAGCAGTACTTATAAGATTTTAAATTTTCGGCCAGCAGGCTGCGTTGTATTAAAAGACAGTGTTGCCAAATATCAATATCGATACCTACAAAATGGTTAATTTCACTAGCCACCTGATGTCAGTATCAGTTCAGGCAGTTAGAATATCAATATCATTTGCCTCAATGTCAGTGCGCATATGACATTGACAAAAATGTCCATCTTAACGAGCTAATTAATCAATTAATTCAAGTTGGGCAGAGTCGGTACCAAGGTTGTGCTCCGTACGAAAGCGGAGTATGACTTGGTCATCGCCCACATGAGGACTTCCAAGGTGGAATTCTTAAACCACAACATTCCCGGTGAGAAACCGTTCAAGGTCGTCATCAGGGGCCTACCAAACTTCGACCCGAAGTTTATTGAACATGAACTCAGGAACCTGTACAAGCTGGTTCCAAGCGCCGTCTATCGGATGACAAGGAAGGACGAAAATGTGAAGGCCTACCCGGATTGCCTGTTCCTGGTACACTTCCAGAAGGGAACGGTGACGCTCAACGCGCTGAAAGCGACTCAGTAGCAAAGGTGTCTGAACTTTGGACACGGCACCCGAAAACGGAAAATGAAGCTGTGGCGTCCAAATGTGCCAACTGTGGTGGTGCTCACCAAGGATTAGACAAGCAGTGCCCTAAACGAGAGCATTTCAAGCGCATCCGAAAACAGGCGTCCACCAACAATCAACCAGGACGAAGGAAGGATAAGGCCCCAGCTTTCAGGGAGGAGGACTTTCCGCCTCTTCACGGACAAGCGAATTCGCGGGTGCGATCTGCTCCACCTCAAGAAACGTCTGGATCTTCTGCTGGACAAAGCTCTCCATCTCCCTCTGGATTCTGGAGACAAACAACAATGCAAAACAACAATCCCGATCTGTTGTCAGCGGATGAACTGATGGACATTTTCGTCAACATGACCGGTGCTCTACGTAAGTGCCGCAATAAGTCCGAACAGATCCAAGTGCTCGGTAAGTTCATCATCCCGTATGGTGTCTAAACCGCTAACCATCGCTAATTGGAACGCTTGCTCTGTAAGAGCTAAACAGATTGAGCTTGCCGACTTCCTCCGCAAGCACAGCATCAACGTGGGTCTTCTAACCGAGCGGACAGCTTTTGGTTGTCTGACCACAACATGGCAGCTTCTGGTTGCCTGACCACAACATTATCCGGCTTGATCGCACCAACTCCAGGGGGTGGTGTAGCGGTCATCGTCAGAAAGGGAATAAAGTTCGACACTCTGCCCCACATCCGCACTTCTATGATCGAGGCCGTTAGTGTGGAGGTGAAATCACCAACTGGAAACGTCCGGTTTATTGCTGTTTACTTCCCACGCCAGTGTACCGCTAGCAACGGACTAGGAACCCAATTCAAGAACGACCTAACCGCCATCAGCTCGTATTAGCTCCCGATTCATCGGTGGAGGCGGGAAATCTCTCCACTCTGTACTTTTTCCTGTCAAACATCGGACTATCCAAACCTCAGGCGCACAAAGATCTCAGCTCCGACCACCAACCGGTGGTGACTGAAGTCGGTGTAAAGACTACCACTATGTCACCTGGGTGCAGTACGGACGAATGGTGGACAGCAACATCGATGAAAATCCACTGCTCGGCACCGTAGATGACATCGACCGGGCGTTGGAAGGACTCGAACAGGCCATATCCATGGCTGACGAGGCATACATTCGACAAGTTCATGTAAGGGGTAAGTTTGTTGCTATTGATTCCCAAACCCAATTCGGTTGAGAAATGTTCGTAGACCCAAGTTTCAGAGGACTGGCGATCTGGGCAAAAATCGTGAAATGGCCGATCTGTAAAGGCAGATTGCTTCCAGAATAGACTCACTCCGAAATGAAAGTTTCGGGCGTGTTGTCCAGAATCTGGACAACCACTCCAGATAATTCTGGAAGGTAGCCAAGGTCCTGAAAACTCGCCCCAAACCCGTTCCACCTCTCAGAGTCGAAAATGATGACGATCGGCTTTTAATCACCCCACAGGAGAAAGCAAATGCAATCGGCGAGCATGTCACTTCATCGCATTTGCTTGGCTCGAATATCCAAAGTCCACTCGAAGATCAGGTTGCGCAATGCGTTCAAAACCTAGATGCCTCCCCTTGTGTCGTGCCTCCGGCGGATATGATTACAGTACAACAGATTTGCTCAGCGCTGAAATGCACCAAGAACATGAAGGCTCCCGGGTTTGACGGTATATTCAACTTGATCTTGAAGAGACTCAGCATGAAAGTGCAGTCTCTTCTAACTGCTATCTTCAACAGATGCTTGGAACTGCACTACTTTCCAAGCATCTGGAAAGTAGCAAAAATCATATCAATCCGCAAACCCGGTAAGGATCCCACATTGCCTTCAAGCTACAGACCAATCAGCCTCCTTTCAGCGCTGAGCAAATTGTTCGAGAAACTCATTCTCTGATTATGCCACCACGTGGAAAATGAAAATCAATGCCTCCAAAACTCAAACAATCATGTTCTTCCATCGGCAATTGCCCAAACTAAAACCGGCTCCCTCTTGTACTGTAATCGTGGATGGCACAAGGGTTGAGTGGTCTGCCGAAGTAACCTTCCAACTAACAATTTTCGCAATGTAAACGCTATACTCATTTCATTTATACAGCCTCAAGCTGTATTCAAACGTTACACGATATGAGGAAACCTGTACTCAGCCTCTATACAAGCAAATCTGGCGAATTTAGTCAGCTACGTATGGCTGTTGTGACGGTTGTTGGGACAAGCTCTTATTGCATATCTATTTACGCTTCTATACAGCTGTTATCCTGCTGTTTAGTTGTGTGTTTACTTGAAAGGCGCTTACTCAACATTTACCCGATTATCCAACAAGCACTACACGGCTTTCTCTTGACGCCAGGAAAAATATTGCTAACGCTTTTTTTGTTAAAGGAATTTATCATGTTTATTTTACTGCGAATCAAATTAATCGAAATTAGTATAAGCAACACCACCAAATTATTTACACTGTACCGGAACCTGGAATCGAACTCGAGACGACCGCATTGGCGAACCTTGATACTACCAACTTCGCTACGCCAACACTTTGAACTGACGTAAACAAATTTACATGCCCTTCTACAACAAGATCGCTGAGTGTAGGCGTTATAATAGTGCACATGAATCACTTTTCTAGACTAATTAATTCAGCTTTGTAAAGAAGCAGAGTAACTTTGTACGAGATGAAGCTCATACGGCTGATGTCGGATCCTTTTTTGACTAGCGGCACAACCTTAATCGGATCTTTGCACTGTACACAACCTTTCACCAGCTAGGATGAATACGAGAAAGGTACAGCCAAAACAGCTCGGTGTGTTCAGGGACAGTAAGGACCTCGGTAAAGGTATTGTCACCTGTTACTGCTTTAGAACCACCAACAAGTGGCTTGCCTGTGAGCGAGCCTTCATCGCGGCGCCGTTTTAATGGCGGTTGACGCATGAAATCAGAGTTTGTCGGAGTTGTCAATGCGATTCGTTTTGATAGCTGAGCGATCTGCTGTTCTTGCTTAGCCATTTCCTTCCTAAGCTCAGCGTGTGCGATTTCCTGTCTCTCGGTGATAGAATTAATCACACTGCCAAACGACGAGACGGCAGTTTTGAATCGAGCACATTTCATCAGCTTCGCGCACTCGTTACACATCCAAAACAGGTTCGGGCTAGGGTGGACAATGTTCAGAAAAGCCTCATTCAGCTTTGTGCCGCCACACTTTAGGTGAATCATCCTGTCGCAAAAAGCCATACAGGAGACGGATTCTTCATCGCCTTTAACTGGCTTAGCGCATTGGTCACAGGCGGAAGTCATGCTGACTCAGTTTCCAAAAGTGATTTAGAAACAGCGGTGGAGATGCTCTAATACGCAAAGAGGAATTGGATTCTCGAGATCGCCCAATGCTAGTCGTGTACAATATGTCCGATTGGATAATTTTTTCACTGTTTTCACAACACAAAATATGCTCTAATTAGCCGATTATTGTAACGAACTACACTTTCCACTAACAACCAGTACAATATTACAAGTATACCGAACGGAAAAACACGAATAACGATAGCCCGTGTGATAAAAAAATGACAAATTTAGCAGCGCAAAATCACGACGATGTGAATAACAACAACTCTATATGACTCTATATTATTCGTCAGCTTTTCGGATGAATTTTCGAACTTTTCGCGGAATACCTCTCATCATGTCTTGCCCAGTAGTACATACTGTCAACCTCATCTACCATCCTTTTCCACCACTTCTCCAAATCAGATGGTGTTTTGATTGTTTTGCCACATTTGCGCTTGATAATTGCCCAACATTTTTCAATGGGACGAAAATCTGGACAATTTGGTGGATTGATACTTTTCTCAATAAAATCGACATTATTCTGCTTATACCATTCTATGACATCGTGGCTATAATGGCAGTTGGCTAAGTCAGGCCAGAACTTTACGGGACATTCATGTGATTGAATGAACGGCAAAATTATGTTCTGGAGACACTCCTCCTTGTAAAGTTGTCTATTCATAGTCGCTCCAGTGATGAAAACCTTTGTTTTCTTTCCGCAACTGCAGATGCCTTGCCAAATCATCAACTTACGAGCGAATTTATCTGCAAAGACAAATTTGAATTTAACCGGAGTATCCCCCTTACGTTTAGCGAAGTAATTTTTTTGGCAGATGGAGGATTAGGTCAGATGGCAACAGGCTGAACGCTATTAGGTCGAACTCTATGGACGAGTGCACCAATGAGTTTGAGCTCATGCACTGTCTTTGACAGGAGGGCGGGCAATGTTTAATAAACATGAGCATTAAATGTTCATTATTCATGAACATTAAGTGTTAATTTTTAGTCAATTTTACCCCGCACTCTGCACTTCAATGAAGCTTCGAGAACTTGAAGGCACTTCAGGGAAACTGCAGGAACTTAACAAGTTCTAGGAACTTCATGGATATACAGGGAAGTCAAGAGGCCTCCCTTAGCTCAGTCGGTAAAGGCGCAGCTACAAAGCAAGACCATGCTGGAAGTGACAGGGTTCGATTCCCGGTCCGGTCTAGGAATTTTTCGGGTTGGAAAATTTCTCGACTTCCCTGGGCATAGAAGTATTATTGGACTTGCCACACAATTATTCCAATGCAAAAATAGTACAGGCATCGAAAGCTCTCAATAAATAACTGTGGAAGTGCATCTAAAACACTAAGTTGAGAGCACGCAATAAGCTAATATGCGATATGCAATAAGCTTGAAATGCGAAGAAGAAGAAGAAGAAGGGAAGTCAAGAAAAATCCAGAGCTCAGAGAACTAGAAAAAAAAAAATGTTGAAACTTCAAAGAAGTTTCAAGAACCTCAGGGAAGCTACCCACTAGCTGTGTGTGTGTGCATTTTTTTTATCGTCCCTTTGCTTGAAATGCATCAGAAAAAGGCAATCCGGATACTTCTTGACGTTCTCATCCCTCCTTGTCATCCGAAACACGGCAGTTGGGGCCAGCTTGTAGCGGTCCTTGATTTCCACTTCGATCAACTTCGGGTCAAAGTTCGGTAAACCTCGGATGACCACTTTGAAGGGCTTGTTGCCTGGGATATCGCAAGTGAAGAATTCCGCCTTGGACTTCTTCAGGTAAGATGTGGCCAGCTCGTATTCCGCTTTCGTGCGGAGCATAACCTTTGTTCCGAATCTACTGAGCTTGAACTCAGCTTTAATGCCCATTGACGCGAATCTACCAACGGTGGTAGCTTGACGATTGCCGCACTTGGGCTGGCATTTTTGGTTTCATCAGCGATACTGGGTCGCGGTAACATCGTCGCGACCAATCGTGTCATCGGACTGGCATCGATTCTTCTTCTTTTTACTGCGCTTTTCCGTCACAGCTGGCTGGGTATTCCTATCGATGAAAAGAACAGCAAACCTGTTCGCTGGAGGTACACCCGAGCTTCCTTCACCGGGCTTCGCGAGCGATGCTTCCCCATTTCAGGGTACGCACACAAATAACCGCGAAAGAGAGAGCGTGAACACTATCGCAACGAACAACTCGAGAGAGCGAGCTAACACCGAACTGAACTGCTTGACGGTCAAGCAGACTGAACTATGAGCTGAGGCACAAAAGCAGCGCTGTTTTATAACTTTTCAAATTAAAGCAGCACGATGTGCAACCAAATCACCGACAAACCGACATGATACTTAAACTTAACTCTTGATCGAGAATCCATAACGGCCGATTCAAATTTGCAGCGATCCCATCTGTCAAAACCATAGAAATGATTTGTCCGATATAGACTAGACACCAACAAACTAACAAATTTTGTACGCGTGTTCGCGGCTAGGATAAATATTTTCCGCGAATACGACGACAGATGGCAGTTTTGTGCTTTGATCAGAAATTTCTTTATAATGATCATTCATATCGGTTTGTCGGTGACCAAATGGTACTCGATTATGACGACTGGGTTTGGGGAGAACGTTTATTTAATGAAAGCAGTGATAAAATTATCACTCTTTATTTATAAATTTTTCAACAGTTTTTTTTTTATGGAAAATTGGAAAAGCATGTATTGTAGCAGATTTGTTGTATTGGTGGTGGTCGATTGGTGAATTTGGATTTTAATTTCATCTATAAATGACAAAGTTATAAGCGGTGAAATCCTTACACCTTTTCGTGACGGTTTTAGATTTTAGATTTACGATTTACCTCCAGTACCGTCCCGTCAAAAATATCTACACCATTTTACTCGTTTTTGCCGGTTGAAATCAGCTTACCAAAAGCGAGAAGGCACTGTTTCCTAGATTGAGCTTAATACAAACCTCTGCAGAATCCCTTTACGGAACTATGTACCTGTGTTCCAGGTAAAGCATTCGAAGTCTCACTTTTACAAAGTTCCTAAGCCCCCAATGAACTGGTCATTTAAATGACAGAAAGCTGATATCTAAAAAAACGCCCATTCAAATCAACCTTTTGCTAAATGGAACCGCATATGGTCGTACTCGTTAATTTATGACTACCAAATAACTTTCCGCCCGAAACCTGCTTTCGACACCTCCTTTATGTCCAAATAACGGAAGGTGCTAATTTCGTCGTCGAAGGCCGTCGGCAATCAGCTTCCATAAAGCATAATAAAACCTGTCCCTGATCAAATGTTTTGGCTCCACGGCAACAGGTTGCTCAAGGTCGTGTGTATCGTCCCGTTCCACTCACCTTCTGATCGATGATCCGCTCGGCGCAGTCCACCTGATCGATGCCGGTGCTGAGCCGCTCGTCCCCGGGCAGATCGTCGTCGAATAGGACCTCGTGCTGCCGGGTTTGGGTCTTCTCCGTTACCAACGTTCCGTCCGGGCGGGCCAACAGCTGCACATCGGTGTCCTCACTGTCGATGACCTTGCGCGACTTGGTGCTGGTGTTGACCAGCTGCGGACCGGACGGGACTAGCTCGAGGCGGGCCTCCTCCGAAAGGAGCAGCTCGCGAATGTCGTCCACACCGCTGTTGATGGCACGCAGGTAGGCCTGGGGACGGGAAGGGAAAGAAACATGATTAGTTCTTCGTTTGATTGGCGTGGCGGTGGGCAAGGGGGTGACGTTGATTGAATCCATTAATTATGTGAGTTGCCTGTGAACGAGCGAGGATGCGTGGGTGTTAACTTCTCGGGAGGCTAGGGTGGTTCTGTATTTTACGCTTTCTATCAGCATTTCACGGCCGATAATATCGACCCAAATTTAAGTTCAGTTACAAACAGTGCAGGAACTCAGATTTATCCAGGAAAAAAAAAATCCCGAATATGTGAAAAGTCAAAATTGGATTCAATCAGTCCTATTGGTACTACTCCTACACTGAGTAAAATTTCCGTAAATTTTCCTCATTTTCCGTCAGATTTTTTAGGTTTTCCACAAGAAAACATGAGGCAAATTTACCCATTGCTTATAAGTAAACTAAACACAAATTTGGGCAGACCTCATTGGCCGTGCATACTGCTTATTTTTTATTATTTTCAGATAGGTATACACCCCATCCTAAATTAATTTTCCATCAGCGTCAACCAAAGCATTCGCCGCTTATACCTGCAGTCGAACCAGTTACCAACAGAATTACAGCAATCATTCGCGCAAGCAGCGGAGTACCAATTGAAACCCTCACCACCGCACCGCAAACCAGCAGCAGTAGTTGGACCTAATGAATATGCAAATTATTGATTTTATACTTCAGAGAGCGAAACAAAAAAAAAATATTTGTTCACCCACACACCCGACTCATTCCTTTCGCATTATTCGTCTTTGATTAGAGGCGGCCTTTTTCGGTCGTCGAGTTGTTTGTAGTCAGCTCGTGTTTCATCTCTCGGCATCGACGACAAACAGCTTCGCTCGATATGGACGATTCATTAAATAAATATTTCGAGAGAGATTTCGAGTAGCAGCTTCAGCGGTGAGTTTCAGCCAGTCGCTACCAGATGGCAGCTCCAGTTTCGATTTGCAATAGACTTCTGAGAGCGGTCATCATCTGTTGCTGGAAATTCGATCTGATGTCGAGAGAGTCTGACCCAAGACGTCAAGTATCTTCTACGGAGAAGAGTGGAAACAACTTCTGATCTGCTGCTAATAAGTTTTTATGAAATAATCGGAGTGCTGCTACCGCTTAGGGTTAGGATGTTTGCCTACCGATTCGAGCTGAAGCAATTCAACAGGTATGCAAATTGAGATCGCGTTAGCAGCGCAGCGGTTCGATTCACACAATTGGATAGGTTGGAGGTTGTCTGCTGGTGGTGCAATGCGCCATCAGAATACTGGTTTGAATGGTAAGAAGATCTTATGCTGATTGGAAGAGGTAACCATTCGAGCAGAAGAGGTGTATCGCAATAGGATCCCAAGGGGCTACGATTGCACGAGTTGGAAGTGGATCGGATAACTTGACCCGATGTGTTTGGTAGAGGTGACTGGTTAAGATTGAATTTTGAGAAGCGCAATTTTTAAGATTTGTTCGGCTTTAAAGAATATCTGCGAGCAATAATGGGCCACCTTTAACCTACAAAATGAGCATAGCTTTGTAACCATGTAACCCAAAAATGTCAAAATTGACACAATATTATTTCACGAATTAGCCTTAGGCTGAAAAGGTATTTTAATAAAACAAATAAAAATAGAAGGGTCTGTGTCCAGGGCCACGAACGGAAGTTTGACGTAGGACCAGGCCATTTAGTGTCATGTACATTCATTTGCCTAAACTATTTTTGACGTAGGATTACGTTTCTCGGTAACATACTCGGGGTGCAATTTCAAAAAACCAAAATCGACCGCGTTACGGAAGGTGGTCAGGTTTTGACCACTTATAACTCTGTCAATGGTGCAGTGATGGAATTCTCACCAAAATATCATTTTCGCTTGCGATACGTTTTCTCTTGGGAACTTTCCCTCACTAGTTTCACACTCCAATATTTCCTGAGCGAACTTTCTGGGATGAGAGAATGAGATATCGCGAACTTTTTTAACTCGAATCACCAACGTGAGGATACGAAAAATATCAGATCATTTTTTCTCTCTATCTCTTTACACCACATTCGTTCTTGAAAATTGCACTGCACATTTCACAAGGGAAAGATTATAGACAGAAAGCTATCCCGAGTAAATCAATACAATCTCTAAAGACTGATAAGTCTGGTACCTGGCTGTCTACTGGCGCCTGTTGTTTAAAGTAGCCGTTATCAGGATGATGTGAACAGTTTTGTGCAACTGATTGATTGGTGCATTGGTTTCTGGCAAAAAAAATGAATGAATCAGCACAAGTGTCAACGCGACATTAACGAGGAACGGGGAGAGTAGTGTAAGATTTTGTGACTAGCAATTTTTATATTAAAACCGTTCCTCAGGATAGGGGGTTGCGGAAGGAGGAGCGCCTAATGTATCCTCATTTTCACGAAATACAGTTAATGCATGGCTCCTCTCATCACTAGTGTTCGTAATATCGTTCCTGTAAGCTCTTATGCAATAATTATATGCAGGGGGATGATTGGGAATATAGGTGGTGGTGAACTTTTTCACTGTGCTATTACCAGTGCTGTAAATTCTCAAAATAATTTGAACATTTTTGATGAAAATGAGAAAAGTAGCTATTCGCTATCAAAGGGGACCTCCTCCGAATGGGTGATATCAGTTGCTTAGTCATTTGACGAAGGCATGGATCATTCTCATTTGAGAAACGCTATATATCATTCGATTGAGTGTAACCTACACACAAACGGAGCTCTGGTCGACATTCCGGCGAAAAAGCTAAGCCAACCCGACACCAACCTGACTTCTATCAAACCCCAACCCGATGTTGACCCGACATTGACCCGACATAAACCCAAAATTGACCCAACATTAACACGACATTGGGTCGACATCGACCTTAAATTAGGCTTACATTGATCCGACATCGGGTCGACTTGTCTGTTCGGGACCATTTTCCTGGATTTCTTCCATACTCCACTGTCGTATATCAAATGATACTGAGTGACTCAATTGACAGTGACAATGAGCTTCGAATGAGAAAGGGGCTCTTCAAATTATGTTTTTTTTTTTTTTTTGTTAATTACTTTATTTGTACAGGCTCAATCGAATAAACTTTACAGAGCCGAGTTATCATTTTTGTTATACATTATTGATTTCTTATATATTTAAAGTTAAAGGAGCTGGACCGGATACTCGCGGTTGTCTCGAGGTTAGTGGGGATTTACAATTTTTTTTTTGATGGGAAAAGGGAAAGGGAGGTTTGAAATGTGGTTTACGATACAAATATTTAATTAATCCTAAAACATGAACTAATTTCTATTCATCTTGAAAACAAACATAAAAAAACCCACACGTACAAAATACAAACTAAACACAAGGTTAATAAAACTTACAATCTAATGTTAATATTCTTAAAGTAAACATATATGAGTTTCATAAACTCCAGATCGCGTCTAGCCAAAATATCCCGAACTGGAACATTAGGTTGTCTACCTCGAGCCCGAAGGGAATCATAAAAATGTGATCTGACTCCACGATACTCCACACAAGACCAAAGGATGTGATCAGCGTCCTGGTAACCTTGTCCACAATCACAGAGATTGCTGTCCTTCAGCCCAACACGGAACAAGTGAGCGTTTAACGAATAGTGATTGGACATGAGGCGAGACATCATACGAATGAAGTCTCGACCCACATCCAACCCCTTGAACCAAGAACTCTTCGACACCTTAGGGATGATCGAATATAGCCATCGTCCCAAACTCCCTTCACTCCACTTATTCTGCCAGCTGACGAGTGACTGTTGACGATAAATGAAGAAAAATTCATCGTAGGCGATTTGTCGATCGTAAATATCGCCTTCCATAGCGCCCACCTTAGCAAGTGAGTCAGCCATCTCATTGCCCGGAATCGAGCAATGAGATGGGACCCATGCAAAGGTGATGACAAAAGATCTTAAAGATAAAGCACTTAAAAGCTCTCGTATTTTCATGAGAAAATACGAGGAGTGCTTTACCGGCCTCATAGAGCGAATAGCCTCGACAGAACTGAGACTATCCGTAAAAATAAAATAATGATCTGGTGCAAGTGAGGCGATCGTTTCTAGCGTATAATGTATTGCCGCCAGCTCAGCAACATATACGGAACAAGGAGCTTGAAGCATTCGAGAGGCGCTATGAAATTCGTTAAAAATACCAAAACCAGCGGACGACTCTATTAGTGATCCATCTGTGAAGAACGATCTTGCGGAATCAACTTGGCCAAACTTTGCAGCGTAAATTGACGGAACAATCATGGAACGATGATGTTCTGGGATCCCATGAATCTCCCGCGTCATAGATAAGTCAAAACTAACTGAATTGCCGAAGTCGGAGAAGCATACACGATGAGGATTATGCTGTGAAGGGCTGACATCCTGTGTTATGTACACGTAGTACAATGACATAAAACGAGTTTGAGGGTTCAGCTCAAGAAGCTTTTCAAAGTTTTCGATTACCAGTGGGTTCATAACTTCGCAACGGGTGAGGAGCCTGAGGGACAATTCCGAGAACCGATCCGATAGTGGCAACATGCCCGCCAACACTTCGAGACTCATCGTATGAGTCGAGTGCATGCATCCTAACGCGATACGAAGACAACGATACTGGATACGTTCCAGTTTGATGATGTGAGTTTTAGCCGCCGACTGGAAACAAAAACTACCGTATTCTAAAACCGATAAAATCGTTGTCCGGTACAACGTTAGAAGATCTTGCGGATGGGCTCCCCACCACGTTCCGGTAATTGTTCGGAGAAAATTGATCCTTTGTTGGCATTTTCGTCTCAGATACTCAATGTGGGATCTCCAGGTGCATTTTGAATCGAACCAGACCCCAAGATATTTGAAGGACATAGAATGAGTGATCGGTTTACCCAAAAGTTGAAGCTTTGGTTGTGCTGGGCTATGCTTCCTAGAAAAAACGACCAACTCAGTTTTCTCCGTGGAGAATTCGATACCTAGCTGAATAGCCCAAGTAGACAAATTG